GGAAAATTTTATTACTTGCCCCATCAATTCTCTATAAACATAGTGTTTATAGTTTCAAATGCTTATTTTTTCGTAATATAAGATATAAACGAAACAAATTTTACAATACGAAAATTTTAATTTAGACCAGCTATTATGATTATAAATATAATTTTTCGTGTTATATTTTATTAATTTCTTCTATATAAAAAATTGGAATAAAAGAAATTTGGAATTTATGGGACTCCATTTTATAATAAATTTTGTGTAAAGATTCATTCCAATTAGCTATTTTGGTTCAGTAGATACAACTCCTAAATTATTAATAATAGAATAATATTATTAATAATCCTTTTAATAACTTCATTGATTACTTTATTTTTTTATCTTCGTTTAACTTATTCAGCATTTATAATAAATTTGTTTGAATCAAAAATTCTATATTATAATTTAATTAAAAATAAGTTTAATTTTATTTATTTAGTAATTTCATATTTTTCTAGATTTGGACTATTATTAGTTTCAATAATTTTTTACCTTTATTAAATTAAAGGTTTTAAGTTAATAAAAAATGTAACCAACTTGAAAAAATTTAAGTCCGACATTAAATTTAATATATAGTATGCATATCATAAATGGTATAAATGCAGAGAATGCTTTCTTGATCGATATGGCTAGCTTAAATAAATTTGTAAATACAAATACTAAGCTTCTTAAATCTTTTCTCCCTTATTACTAGAATCTAATTTCAGTCAGATACTTTATAAGTCTGATGGCTAAGGTTTTTCAATTCATGTGGGTTTTGATCCTTTCCACATGCTATAATAAAAATAACATTTATCGATATAATGAAAAAAAATGTGTATAATAGAACTAGGAGCTTCATTTTAAATAACTGAGTGAAAAGATCATTGGTAACATAAGTAAATAAGAAAAGATCATACGAAAAAAAATTCATTTAAAAAATAATTCAAAAGCATTATTTAAATTTCTTTAACTACATATGTACATATTTAGTCCTTTAAATCTCTATATAAAAAGAAGCTTGTAAATTATAACAGTTCGAGGTAATTTTTAGAAAAATTTTCGATAATTTTTTTTCAAAATACTTTATCAATATATTATTATCTAATATTAACTTTTTAATCTAGCTGAAGAGTTTATAATTGTGCACAATATGTTTAGTATTAAATTCCTTTTCTACTTGTGCTTGTTTCATAAAAAATTTTTAAATAGTAATTGATTCTGAGTGTGATGACAAAATATGTATATTAAAACATTGAAAACAGATTTATGTTATGGCATTTATATAAATTGAATTAACTCGTTTTAATGCAGTACTAGACTTAATATTCATAGTACAAGTCTACACTATGTTTATACTGTCGCATTAAACCCAAATTCACTTTTATTTTAATATTTGCATAGCGTTTACCGTATAATATCCTCACGAAATCTTTGCAAGCCCTATGAGATAAAGGTGTATTTATTTTTTAAAGGCATTCATTTAGTGATGGATGTCTTCAAACATTCTTATGAGAAAAAATGAAGCCGCGAATCCAAACAAATTTGAAATTGTAAACAAAAGCACACTAGAAAATGATTTTTATGATGATGGTTGTTGTTAATTAATTTATTGTATACTTTAAGAAATTTAACTTTAATTAAAAAGAAATTATGGCACTGATGGGTATTGAACAGCAAATTTCAAAGAATTTTAATATCTTCGATTAATTTTCTATTCACGAACATTTAAAACTAAAATTCAGTTTAAAAACAAAGTTCTTTTATGCAAAAATTACTGACTCATATTATTTTTTGATCAATTTATATAAATTATGAAAAGTTAACCGATTCATCAATGCAATTACTTCGATAATTAATCGAAACGCTGGCAGTGCCATCTAGCATAAAACAAAAAACATTTAAATGTCAATGTCAAACCATTTGCTTTTGTTCCTTATTTATTGGGCACTATTGGTTATATACTAGTTTTGCATTCTATTAATTCATATTTAAAAAAAAGAATCTATTTCAAACAATAAGAAATTCAATTTCGTGCGCTCATATTAGTTCAAATAAGACTAATCAGAAATAATTTATTATTATATAGTTTGAGATGTCAAGTGATGAAAATAGGTAAGTAAGAAATTGAGGTTATGAAAAAGAAGTTTAATAGTTTGTTTTTCTGTTAATAGCGACGACTTAAGTGCGTGCACTGATAGCGAAAAACGTTCCAAACGTCTGTCCGGATCACACAAAAAATCGAAAAAACATAAAAAGCAGAAGAAATCTAACAAAACTGAAAAATTTCATAAGAGTCACAAGAAATATAAAAAAAGACGTAGACAAAGTGAATCTTCAGATATGGCATCTGAAGTTTCCACTACTAAGCGTACACCAGCCACTTTAAATGAAAAATTTGCGGAAATAATGCAAAAAGCCAGCAAGGATACGACAAGTTTTCTACGTGTTGAACAACACGCCAATGGTAATAAATTTAGTATAACAAGACCTAATATGCAAACAGATCCCAGTAGTTTAGTTGAAGAAATTACTAGAACCATACAAACCAAAGTCTTGCCTGTAATGGAAGTTGGAAGTTCGGGTAGTGATAGCGAAGTGTAAGTAGATTAAAATGTGTTACTCGTATATATAAATATTTTAGTTTCATAATTTTACGTAATTTCTTTTTAATGAATAAAGTCCAAATGATGATGTTAGTCCCGAAGTGGCAATAATTGAAGACGATCTTAACTTAGAAGACCTGATGAAACAGAAAGCCTTACTACAAGCGCGCTTAGGTGCTTACATGTCAGAATCCGAGGGTGAGGATAAACATACAAATTTAATTGAGAAACAGCAAGACAGTGCACAGCAAAATTTTGACATAACTGTGGCAGTAGGAGCCAAGGAAAAGACTTCCAGCCCTTCAACTTCACATATTAGTAAAAATAATAATAAAATTTCTAAATCAAATTCTACTGAACCAGTTGTAATATTATTGGATGATTCTAGTGGTCATAATACACCGGAAAGGCAACGCAAACCTCGTGTTAGCAGTAATGATACAAAGAAAGACCAACGTATAAGTTCACCAAAACGGTCATCAGCTCGCAAAGAGTATGAAAATGAATACCATAAACAGCGAAGACGTACACGAAGCCGAACACCACGGCGGGAATTAGATACATATAAAAATCAACGAGAAAGTAGTCGAAGTCTTCAGCGTCGTGAACTTATTGATCAAAATAGACATAAAGAAGATTTACGTCAGGAAATTAATCGTGATAAGGAACGTGAAAGAAACAGCAGGGAGCGTGAACGCAAAGCAAGAGAAAATAGGTCACGTTATGATGATAGTTCTGTCAGAGGACGTGATCGGGAACGTGATAGAGATAGGGGTAGAGACAGAGAAAGAGGTCGTGATAGAGATCGTTGGAATCGTGAACGTTCACATAGTCGTAGTAAAGAAGAATCAGATCGTCGACGCAATGAACGTGATCGCTTACAACGAGAGAGAGAAGAAAGGCGTAGTGATCGTGATCGTCCTCGTGTTCGTCCAGATAAATATCGTGATTCTCTTAGTGAAGGTCAAAACCAAAAAATGAATGAATCGAGTAGCGACGGCGAACTGAATTTAGATATAGATATAAATGACGAAGATGACGATGAAGAAAAAATTATTGAGATGCGGCGTAAACAACGAGAGGAGCTTTTAAAAGTATATAAATCAAAATTTAACATAACATTTTCTAATCATATGTATTTATTTTGATAGAAATTAAAATCTAATAGCGATACTGAAGACGTAACAAAAGCTGAACCAAATGAAAAGAAGGATGTTAAGCCGCTCCCTATAGTAACGAAAAGCGAAAATAAATCTACAAATCTAGAGAACACAACAGATAAGATAATAGAGTCTACTGAAGGTAACAATGAGTCCGCAACAGGTGAGGGAAAAAAGCAACAAACTAAAAATAGTGGTAAAGAAAAACGACCAGAGTGGGATATGTTTGCAGACCAAGATGTAGATTCAAAGTTCGATGTGAGTTTTGTGTTTGTAACTATCGCAAATGAATAGACATATATATAAAAAAAGAAATATGCTTACAATTTTAATGTTTTTATTTTCAAGTCACCAAATACAATTGTTCATAACAAAAACCAAATTGAAAACCCGGCACTTACTGATAATTGGGACGATGCAGAAGGATACTATCGCGTGCGTATTGGCGAAACATTAGATAATCGTTACACAGTTTCTGGCTACACAGGTCAAGGTGTATTTAGTAATGTTGTAAGAGCACGTGACCAGGCACGTGGAAATGCTAATGTTGCTGTTAAAATCATACGCAATAATGAAATAATGTAAGTATATCTCTATATATATTAATACTAATCAAAAGGGATCTTGAAAGATATACAAATTTGTTTTTACTTAACATTATAAATTACTGGGAAAGCAAGATTTTGTTATTTTTGTGTTAAAACTGTAAAAAATATATTATAAGTGGTACTTACGAAAAAGCATAACGAGTTCGATAACCGTTAACGAGCTCGATGCCTGAGTTACAAGCTCAATGATCAAGTAACACGCTCGATGACCGAATAAGGAAATCGATAGCCTAATAAAAAAACTCGGTGACCGACTACTCGGTGACATAGTAACAAGCTCGATGACCGAGTAACGAGCTCGATGACCGAGTAAATAACTCGATGATCGACTAATGAGCTCTATGACCGAGTAACAAGATCGATGGCCGAGTAGCAAGCTCGATGACCGAGTAACAAGCTTGATGAACGAGTAACTAGCTCGATGACATAGTAAAAAACTCGATGACCGAATAACGAATTCGATGACCGAGTAATGAGCGCGATGATCGAGAAACAAGCTCGATGACTGAGTAACATTAGTAAGAATGCAAAGCGGCAAGACCAAAACACTTTTGGAGTGAATGAATTTTATAACTGCTGCTCTTTATATTGTTACCATTTTAGTAAGTATTGAACTCGTTACTTGTGATCGTGAATACCACTAGTGTATTTTTCTGTTTATCAACAAAATTCATTTAATCTTTTGTTTTTCAACCAATCATTGCAAAAGAGAAAACACTAAAGAATAACATTCATCTCTGAATACAAAATTTCCAATGATCTATTTAGATTTATTTTACTATTTATTTTAAATATTATAAATTTATCATTAATAACAAAATGTAACTTACATGATTTCGTTTTTAAAAATAAGGCATAAAACGGGTTTACGAGAATTGGAGATACTAAAAAAACTAAACGATGCAGATCCAGAAGATCGCTTCCACTGCTTACGCTTGTACAGGCATTTTTTTCATAAGCAGGTAATATTTTCCTATTACAATAAACATTATAATAAACTAGTGAATTTGTGTTATTGTGTTATTAAAGGCTCTTGTAAATCTGAATAAAAAAAAGTTTTAAGTTAGTTTGTTTTATTTTATATAGTTATTATCTGTATAAATATCGCTGACGGTTTGAAATTTCAGATTCACAGAAGCTTTTAATAATACACATAAAACCAAAAACGCGTGAACTCGTAACTATTCTAATAATAAATTTTATATAACGCAGCATCTCTGTATGGTTTTTGAACCACTTGCTATGAATCTACGGGAGGTCTTGAAAAAATATGGTAAAAATGTGGGACTGCATATAAAGGCAGTTCGTAGTTATACTCAGCAATTGTTCCTTGCACTTAAACTACTTAAAAAAACTGGAATACTACATGCCGATATTAAACCGGATAATATATTAGTGAACGAAAACAATTTAATTCTGAAACTTTGTGATTTTGGATCGGCATCAACTATAAATGATAATGATATCACACCCTATCTGGTTTCGCGTTTCTATCGTGCGCCCGAAATAATATTGGGCATACCGTATGACTACGGCATAGATATGTGGTCAGCTGGTTGTACTATATATGAGCTATATACTGGTAAAATATTGTTTAGTGGCAAGAGCAATAATCAAATGCTAAAATACTTTATGGATCTTAAAGGTGCGTATATTTAAGAGCAAAATTAAGGAAGAGACAACCTGAGGTGGCATTTTAGAAATGTCTTTACTTAAGTGGGTTAGTACACAATTCTTAAAAATCACTTTTTCAATGTGTTTAATGCTAAGCAGAGATAAAAGTATATTTTATTAGTTTAATGATATACATTTTGCTGCTGTTTAGTCAAAATAGTGTACAAATAAAATGTATTTAATTAGTTGTTTATTTGAATAGACACAGTTTTTAACTCCAGTCATCCAGTTACCTCTCTTGAGCATGCACAATTAAATGGTTCTGTATGTGAAAGCTAACACACAATTGAACAATTGACAATTGAATAAAACAATCTCTAATGGTAATACAATTTTTTGAAGCTAATGTTTAATTAACTATGTTTGTGTATTACGATTTAATTAACTTAATAACAACTTAAAACTGACTTAATACTGAAATTAAATTTTGATTAATTTTTCTTTTACAGAAAAACAGCAGTCCTACTGCAACTAACAGTAAAGTGAAAACTATAAATGCACCTTAGGTTATAATAGTTAAATATTTTAAAAAATCAGAGAAACTTTTTTTTAAAAATTCTCATATATCACAAACAGGTAAGATGCCAAATCGACTAATACGTAAAGGGCAGTTTAAGGACTTACATTTTGACCAAAGCTGTAGTTTTCTGTATCATGAAATTGATAAGTTAACTGAAAGGGTGAGTAGTTAAAAAAGTTAAGTCAACTTTTTATATTCATATATTTTTATACCTTTAATTTATAATAGGAAAAAATTGTTGTTATGCCAGTGGTTAAGGCTAGTCGGAATCTTCCACAGGAATTGGTAGCAGACCAAAATTTGCCTGACGATCAACACAGAAAAGTTGGACAGCTTAAGGACCTCTTGGATAACATGTTTGCGCTTGATCCCGCGAAACGTATTTCATTGAATCAGGCATTGACACATCCATTTATACAAGAGAAGATGTAGATGCAGAGATATTACAAAGATATTCGATTGCTTCGATGAAACGATATTAACTGCAAGGAGTTCAATGTAATTTGCCTCTCAAGAACACAAATGCTGAGTTTTAAGCTTTAAGTATAATTATTTTGTTATTATGAAATTAAAGAAAACAAACATAAAATTTAACTTGACGATAGTAAGAATTTTGTTAACGGAAATGTGTTTGGGAAAACATATTGCTGGACTGTAAATTTGTAATGAGAACTCTTGTATTTTAGGCTATATTTTCTCACTAATACTAAACGTAATTCAAAATGTAATTTACTTTAAATTGTAAGCCCATTCAATTTTGTAAAAGAGTGTCGACTAGACATTTTTTTTATTAACATTGACACTAACATAAATTATTAAACGATAAACTCAGTTAATGTGTAAATGAAGTATCTTTTATTAATTTTGTTAATTGGAATTACTTCTAACAGAACATAAGTTTGTTATTTTTCTATTTTCTCAATCTTAAATCATTGTTGTTGGAAAAAATCTAAAAAATTGATTTAATTTCAGAGCTTGCAGAAGAATCGTCGCTGATGATTGCAGAAGAATTGAGCAAATTTGCACAGAAATAATGCGCTGTTATTAGCAGCTTTTCACTTTCTTGGGCATGAAGAGAGTTGCGTCTCTGGTAATAATATGGGCCATTAAACACTTATTTATACTAAATATCAAAATGTTTGAATTACTTTACTACTTTACTTATATGACGTCATTGTAATTTGTTAATTTGATTACAATTTCATAAATTTTAAAAATGACGTAATATAATAATTATTGACAAACAAAGAAAAAAAAACAAAACCGATAAGTACATTAAAATTGTATTCATTTGGAACACTTTTTCCACTTTTCAGGCTTAAAATTAACAACAAACTAGGAAAATTTCGTTTGGGTAAAAATAAAAATTTCGCATTAAGTGGCGTAAGTTAAAGAGTTCGCAGAAATTAATAATGTTAGTAAAAGATATATGTTTTTTTTTATTTTTTAGGGGCACAACCTCAAATGAAAACAAAGCTTTTGTCTTTCCATAATAGAAAAAAGCAGCAGCTTAAGGTTTATTTTTCGACAATCACCGAACACTTGGACATTCCATTTTTATGAATTTGTTCAACGAAGTCCACACCAGAAACCAAGCGTCTATGTTAAATATTGAGAGTTATTAGATTCGAAGATTCGATAATAAAATCACTCAATCACTACAGTTTATGATCAGCATTAAATTCATTATGCGTTTTATAATTTGCGCAAAGTTATTTATTATTAAAAATATATGATTTAGTCATATAATTTACAGTAAGCTTTTCTGATATTTTTAGGACTCCAAACATCAATCATCATAGAATAATAATACTTTTCTGAAAAACCTGTCGATCAATATCTGAAACAATAAATAATTCGACAAATAACAACAACTGTTATGTGTGGGTATGCTTATTGATGTAACCATTTCAGTAGGCAACTCCAGATTTATAATCGAGAGACCCCGCCTCGCCGCACTTTAAAACAGCGTCACATCAATGATGAATATTTTTTAAACAGAATAAAACAAAATTCTAACATATATCCCTAGAAAATTACTACATGCATAATACACATTGAAACAAAAGCATAGCCTGGGTCAAATCCCACCGTCTGGTTTAAAAACACGCTTTAAAAGTCTTCAAAAAATACTATGATGGCTCCATAATTGGGAGCTTCAAGGAGTATTAAGATTCACAAAAATAATAACTATCACAAGTCTACACAGAAGTTCACCTCCAGCGAGTACCGATAGAGACCAAAATAGGTGTATGCGTTGTATATGGTCAGCTAGATTTAAAAATTTAATCTATAACTTTATGCCGAAATAACATAAGTGACATCTGTGACAAAGTGATCCAAATATAATAAGTTGAAACATACAATTATCTGCACACCACTACTTATCAGAGTAGGAAAACACATCACAAAAGCCTGAGGTCAAAATGTCAGACAGACATGCGGCAATGGCAATAAAAGATTTTATAAAAGATAAAACAAATATCTTTATGTCTGTATTGGATGTGTGTACATCCGTCGGAAAACGGTCTCAAAAAGCATCCTTTCATATCCGTTTCAATAATGCATATACATGGGTTTTAATTAAAAATATTCTGGATGAAGGTAGAGATGCTTCGTCGTTTCAATGTGTCGAAATCAAAGATCGATATGGCTCAAATTGGTGTGTGCATTGGGTATCAGAGCAGACTATATGGAGTTGAGTTATGGTTGTGGCATACATTGAATTCATGATCTCAATTGGGTTAGTAAAGTTTTTGTTAAACCAGGAAACGCCGTTCTTCCCTAGAGATGAGTTGATCAGGTGGTATTGGGAACTTTGTTGTTATACATTCATGTTCTCGAAGAGGAAACTGCTTCCGTATGGAGGAGGAGTGTTAGCTCACTTTTGTATTCAAACACAATTATTCAGTTGCAACATGCATCTGTATATAAGGATACAAAAAAAGAAATCGATCGGCGGATGCTTCTACGAATAATGTTACTATTGTAATGGCCATCTGTTTAGATAATACTTATTGCTTAGACATTAGTTGATTGGGCTCAGTATAAACCGCAATAGCACGTCCTATGTTTTGTTTCTCCAGCAGGGTTATTTTATTTAAACTTAAATGAGCCTGCGGAGGCATTTAGGACATTAGTCATTTTGGTTGAGTTGTATTGGGAATTCTGAATTCACGGATGTTAATGGACAAAGTCATGGGTACCTCTTTAATCCATTTGGTAAAGACGATAGCAGATTTCATTCATTTTTATCACTAAAGAATAATGCCATAGTGTGAAGATATATGATATGACACTGATTCCTTTAGGAGGTTTCATTAGTGGGAAATTGTGATACTAGCCTTTGTAAAACATGCGTTTTGGTTATGACCAAAAAAAATCTTTAAAATTGTCATGACCATTCCTCACATGACCGTTAGTTTAATATGGCCCTTAGTGCCCTATGGAGTAAAGGCGTTATTAAATTCAAAGCAAACCAATCATACTAAAGATTTTGTTATATTTAACTACATTTTATTAAATAGATGTTTTTGCTAATTGTTACTTAAGCTGTATATAGTTTTTTATACATTATAAATTACCTATTTTCATATATACAAACGTTAGTTATAGTTTATTAACTTAACAATATTAGATCCGAACTTATAAATACATAAACTTTAGAATTTATTCCAATTCCTTCAGACTTAGATTTGGTGATATTGCTTGACTACGGAAGCAAGATTTTATTGTTTTTATTTTGTAATTGTTTTCAGCAAAAGGATCACGCAACAACCCAAATGTGCACTCAAACACGCCAATACAGATTTCTTGTTTATGAAGCGTTCCACATATAAGTACAATCACTAAACCGTGCATATCAACGCAACCTTGACAACCATCGTTGTCAAAGTTTGGATGGAAATATATTTGAAATGTGTGTTTTGTATCCAGTAAACTATGCAAAACATTAGAAGCACCAGTAATTTGCTTTTCATTAATGCGATCCCCATCCACTAACTGCAATGTCAGCTGCGCATCAGCATAGAAGTCATTTGCATTTAATGTTTCATCATTATAACGTTGGAAAAACCATTTACTAAAAGTGTGTGCCAACACACTATTGACATCTTTCTCAATAATCGTTTCCTTAACATCAGTTAAATTATTGCTTTTCCAATAAGCTAATGTACTTTGAATTAATGCCAATTTTGTGAAATCAAGTGATACTTGTACATTTCTTTTGTGTAAATATTTGAATAACACTTCTTTTGTCACATATCGTTTATTTAGTATGGTTATTGAGTCGTTCACTGTTGTAAAAATAAAATTTAGAGTATCTACAAAATGGTTAAAATAAGAATGTAAAAAAAATAATCAAAAGAAATTTATTATACCTTCAGGTTTCGTTGCGTTACATTCGTTTTTACTAAAACTTTTCGCTAGCTGCCACAAAATACTTTGATTTTTCTCTTCAGTTATAAATAAATCAGAAAAGCCTGCCTTTTCTTGATCGGTAATATCCATAGTTGCATTAGAATAACTTATTTGTTGTCTTAATATTTTTAGATTATTAAATCACACACTTTTGTTTTTTTTCTTTTTCGACATATTTAAACAGAAATGTCAAAACGAAAAAAACTTTGACATATGATTTTTATTTATGACTCTATTGTGAATTTTTGCGCTATTGTTATTGTTTGAGTCGTATAAGTAACTGGTTAATCTATTGAATTGCAAAACCAATAATTATCACCTATACTCCGCTACATATAATTTGGATTATTCAAAAGTGCTTGCTTACTCGTTGAAGTGAAATATATATATGGGTACTCACCCTTACGAGTAACAAGCTCGGTAAATAGTAAAATCGGGTACTCTAAAAACAGTGAGCATTTAAACGTATTGATCTATAAAATGATTTTACCTCAGAATACTTTAATAAGTTTTTTAATATATTTTTGTCCTTTCACGTGGACTTTATTGAATATTTTAATTTTGTAACTTATTAGCTTCTAACAAATTAATACGTATTAAGGTATAAATATTCTAAACTGTTATTAATTTTGTTGTAAAAGGAAATTTTAAAATTTCCTGCATTCTTAACATAGATTTAAATAAATTAATTTAAATTTCTATATTAATTGTTAATTTTTATACAAAAAAAATTATGCTTGCATTATGTGTACATACATATGCAAAATTTCCTACTTGCGAAAACATAACAACAGACCCTGTTGTGACAGATTGCAACAGTGATACCAATATCTCGTTTAGTGCCTATACTAAGCAACTCGCTGTTGTTTTTCTTATACATTTATATAAATTTATTTATTAATGTGTTTGTATTTATAAGTATGTAAACTGTGAATAAAATATGATTTTAACGGATGACTGAAATTTTGCAATATATTTCTAGTGAACATTTGTAATAGACTGGTTATTGAGTTTGGCTGCACTAAAACTTAAGACGTAAAATTTTTCGTTAGCATAACCTAGCTCAGAAGATTTTAAGAGCATTTTAATTTCTTCACAGTTTTTCTTTCGTAAGTTGCGAGTATCTTTTTCTTACTCTGATTGAAAAATTTATGGCTAGTGATAAGACATGTGAACTTTTATTTTTGCTTTTTAATAAAAGATGTCACTTCATAATTTTTGACGGGTGATATGCAAATAAAAAATTCGTGTAAATACAGTAGAAGATATTCTTTGGTGCTTATTTTGTGGTGTAACGACTTTGAACTCTGATTACTTACTTCTGTGATAACTAATACTATTGTGAATAGCTTTGGGTGAAGAAATTGATAAGAAACGGCAATAATAAGAAAATACAAGAAGTTGTTTTGCAAGCAATTATTCTTGCCTTATCGTTTTAACGTTTAATGCCATAATAGCTCTCTAAATAATTGTTAAAAGAAGTGTTCAAAGTTCATTTGGTTTAAGATAAAATGGATATGAAATTCGGAAAACTGATTGGCGCCATAGACGAGGGAACTTCATCGGCTCGTTTTATCATATTTAAAGCTGGAACTGACGAGATAGTATGCATGCATCAAGTAACAGTAGAATCTTCCTACCCCCGTGAAGGTTGGGTTGAACAAAGCCCTACGGCTATATACGATGCAGTGTACGTTTGCATTGAAGAAGCTGTGTCAAAGCTTAAAGATCTTGGAGGTAACCCTAAGGTAAGAGATAAATACATTGCTGAAGTTTTTTACTTTTATTTTCAATATAATTTGTAAGATTTTTTACATATGGTATACATATAGTCTTATATATTTTAATTTCAAACTATTTTGTTATCGTAGTTAGTGTTTTCAGCTTTTAAAAACTCTCGATATATTTGTGCTTCACTGATTCGTTCTTCAATCGTGCGCTCCCGTTGATTTTCAACTCGGTCCTCCAGTTTAACATAAATTTGATCATTATGCCCAAAATCGCCTGGACGTCTGGGCATTACATGAAAATGTACATGTGGTACTGTTTGGCCTGCATCGGTTCCATCCTGTACGGTCACAGTTGCTGATGTAGTCTTGTATATTTTTTCAAGCATACGTTGTATTTTACAAACGGCTTCAAAAAGTTCTGCCATTTCGTGACAGTTCAAACCGCTAAGTCTTGGCGTAACGCGTTTAGTAGATACCAGAACATGACCTTCCACAACGCAAGTTAAATTAGTGAACGCATAACAATGCTCCGATTCGTAAAATATTGTTTCCTTCAGGATTTTGTTGTTGGCAAAATTGCGGTCTTCGGTTGGCTCAAACGTGGCTGTACCGTAAGCAGTAAGACAATAAATATCTCCGCGTCTATGATCAAAACATGGCATGCTTTTGCGTATTGGTAATATTGAGCTTAAGTCAATTTCTACTGTTGCAACGGCGGATTCGCACTCTCCACCCATGTCAGTCAATATTTTTCCCCAAGGATCTATTACCATTGCATGGCCCCAGCTGCGACGTTTCTGGTTGTGATAGCCAATTTGTGCTGGAGCAATAACAAAACATTGATTTTCAATCGCTCGCGAACGTAACAAAGTTTCCCAATGCGCTTTGCCTGTCGTGAAGGCAAATGCGGACGGATATGTAAGAATTTGAGCACCAGATTTTCGAAGTAACACACTTGTTTCAGCAAATCGTAAATCATAACAAATTTGTAAACCTAAATAACCGATAGGCGTTGCTATAGGTGACACCAAACGAGGGCCGGCTGTTACGACATCAGATTCACGGAATCGAAACTCGGGCGTGTCAACATCAAATAAATGCAGCTTCCTATATACTGTTACCACTTCTCCCAGATCATTTACTATTACGTGAGCATTATATATTTTATCTGTTTTGCAAGAGTTATCATCCAATATGCTTTCGTGTATACCACCGAGTGATAACCATATTTTATGCTGTTTTGCTAGTTTCTGGTACTGCTTCATTGTTGCGCCTGTGAGCGGTTCGGAAAGCTCAATTGTTTCCTTTCTGTTTTCACCCACAAAGTCACAACATTCCGGCAAAAATAAAAATGAAGCTTGTTGTGATTTTGCCTCTTCCACTAATTTCTGCACTTCAGCAAAATTTTCTTCTTTGTTGTTTGTTGTACGCATTTGGGAAATCGCAATTATGGATTTTCCAGTAGCGCCTTCCGATGTAGCTGCGGACATTCTGGATACAACACCACTATGGAATTTATTTAAATTTTGTCTGGTGTTGTTGCCGACTTTTCTGACAACCACATTCAACACCCGTAACATCGAAAATTGTTTTAAGTTTTTATGTTAACTTCTATATAATCTTATCATATGCCTTTTACTTCTTATTTTGTTTTTATTATCCAATTTCTTTGCGCAAGGTCATACGTAATTCACAATATTTTTTAGTGCCGATGGTTGTGTATTTGGTACTTGATTTATCAGTTACTTTTGCAACCATGACCAACTCATTTGAATAAACAAATTTAAAATAAATTAATTATTTTAATTCAAATATAAAAAACAAAATTATTTTACTAATAGGAGAGGTATTAAATAGTAGTAAATACTAACAACTTCAAAATTTTCAAAATTTCGTCAACCTATATATATTATATATTAATATTGGCATTTTCGGTGGCTCACAAGTATGGCAAAAAACAGCAAGTTGCTGGCCTATACTGGGCAAAATGTACGCAAAACAACAATACTTTTTTCTCTATCTAGGTCAGTAGTTGTATACTGGCCCCACACTTCGGCCAGTAAAAAGAAGTGGTATCAACACAATAAGCGAACTATTGTGAACCTTCTTTGGAAATTCCAACGAATATTGCAATCATTTGTCAAAAATTATATGTAAATAAAAATTGAAACGAAATTCAAAAATTTCATAAACTTGAAAATTGGGAAAAAAGTAAAATTTCAGTGTCTTATTTTCAAATTTCGCAAATTTTTACCATTCCTTTTCATTCTGTATTAATTTTAATTTCCAATTTAACACTTAATTTTCATAACACTTGACAGTTATAACAGTGATGCCAATGTCTCGCTTAGCGAATATAGCCCATCATGCCTTTTTTTGGCACACTTGCGAGCCACCGAAAACGCCTATACTTTTAACATAACTGACTTTAAAAATTAAATTTAATATATAAAAAATATTTTCCAATTTCCCGTTCTCACTTTTGCAATCGAAGAGTAACATGAGCATAACTTTATTGTAATAAGTTATAAAAAAAGATATATTTCTATATAAAAAAAAAAGAAAAACTGTAAATATATTTATTACATAATGTCTACCAAAAGAATATTACTTAAATTATCATAATTAAAAAATTATAATAGTTAATAGCAATTTCTTTAAGCTCTGACCAATAAGCTTGCGACAAGTGCTTAGGTTGTTATCTTTTGAGAAATCAGAAAAGAATATCAAAAATGTTTAAATTTGAATAATAAAAGTTTCGTGCAGTTTTGTCTATTTCTGTTAAAACATGCTACTAATCTTTGTCTTTGCTAATAAATTGTCCTATTCAAAGTTGTAAGGTTGATACTAATAAGTCAGACATTAGGTCTGTTCCACGATCTACTCGTAGTAACTTTGAGTAACACTGTGTATATGCAAGTGTGTTCCACCAACAAATTTTCGAGTAAATGAGATCATTTTCGAGAACATAACATCCCTGTCGAAATTTGAAAATGCTACACAGATTATACTCGAACATTTTATTTCAAGTAAAATTTGTGTTAATGTGTCAATCAGCTGTTTTGGTTTGAATTAAAATTTTTATATTGTTTATTTGCGCGGCACTGATAATCTCAGCAGATTTTACACAAAGCTTTTCCATGAAAATCTGTGAAAAGAGCGTAATTTGGCTCTTTATTTGTGTTACGCTCTCAGTTTGTAATTTACTTGTGTTTTACTACGAGTTGCCCGTGGACCAGATCTATTATATGATGAGCATATAATGAGCATTTCAAAATATTAAAAACAAACAGACAAGTATGCATTTAGTTTAAAATAGAATTCTGAAAAGAGAACATTTAAATTAGTTGTTAATATAAACTATATCTTATAATTTATAAATCCTGTCTGCAGACAATCTATTACTTTAGACATACTTAAAAGACTTCTATTTATACAGACTCCAACATCTTAATAAATATGTTAATCAGATGTACTGTTTTTATCGGAACAGTTCCATTAAACGATCATTAAATTATATGCAATATTTTCTTAATTCAATTAATTTTTGTATTTTTTTATTTTCTTACCATACATACAAATAATAATATATATAGCCATAGAGTCTATATATAGACTTTAAACATAGCTAGATAAGTGAGATCTTCTACCAAATTAGAATTAGAATTCATAATTTCTTTCCTCTCATTAATATTGAGTAATATAGATACATTTAAGTTAGTATGGACAATCTGGGACTTTTAATTTAACGGAGTAATTGAGCAACATAATATATATATATATATATCACATAATCTATTTTATTTCTAGGATATTGTTGCTATTGGTGTAACTAATCAACGTGAGTCGGTTATTGTATGGGATAGGCGTACAGGTAGACCATTACATAATGCAATAATTTGGCTAGATAATCGAACATCTTCCACTGTGGATAAACTATTGGACGGTATACCAGAGGAAGTTCGATCAAAAAGCTATTTACAAAAACGATGCGGCCTACCTTTATCACCTTATTTTTCTGCCTTGAAACTCCGTTGGTTGTATGATAACGACACAAAAATCGCCAAAACGATGGAAGAAGGCAACTGTCTTGTAGGTAATGTTGATTCTTGGCTAATATATATATTAACGGGCGGACCAAGAAATGGTGGTATACATGTAACAGACGTAACAAATGCATCACGAACAATGCTTATGAATATCAACACATTGCAATGGGACGATGAATTAATTAAATTTTTTGGTTTACCAAAGAAAATTTTGCCAAAAATTCGTTCTAGTGCTGAAAGATACGGATATGTAAAAATTGGTAGTTTAACAGGTGTTGAAATAACGGCTTGTTTAGGTGATCAGCAAGCTGCATTGGTTGGCCAAAGATGTTTACAACGTGGCTTGTGCAAATCAACATTTGGCACGGGAGCCTTCCTACTTTGTAATACCGGCAACTCTGTTGTATATTCGGATCATGGTTTACTGACCACTGTTGCATACCAGTTCGGTGCTGACAGCAAACCTGTTTACGCTTTGGAAGGTAGTGTTGCGATTGCAGGTGCAGCTTTAAGTTGGTTACGTGATAATCTGGGACTATTTAGTTCAACGCAGCAAGTTGAACAAATGGCGCGAATGGTGGACAATGTTTTGGACGTATATTTTGTTCCCGCATTTAATGGTTTATATGCACCATATTGGGATCAGAACGCACGCGGGTATGTGTATTTATTGTTTATATTTTGAATTTTTACATTATTTTTTTTTATAAAAGTGTTATATGTGGTCTGAGCGAGGAGACGACTAGTGAACACATTGTCCGTGCCACACTTGAAGCTGTGAGTTTTCAGGTTCATGACATACTTGATGCAATGAAAAAGGATTTTGGTTACCCAATTGCTAAATTGATGGTTGATGGAGGAATGACTGTAAACACGCTATTTCTCCAGTTGCAGTCCGATCTGCTAGGCATAGATGTTATCCGTTCACGTATTGCAGAAACAACAGCATTAGTAAGACAGTTAATAGTCAATTAAATATTTCCTACTAAAATTACGTTTTAACAGGGCGCAGCGTTGGCAGCATATAAAGCAATTGAACCAAGCTTTAATATTGATAACGATTTGAATCAATTTGATTCTACATTGTTGTATAAGCCTCTTATCAGCAGTAGTGACAGAGAGTCCAGATACAAAAAGTGGAAGATGGCCGTTGACCGTTCTCTGGCTTGGGAATCAGCTGAAGATTTAGAAGATTAAAATATGCTTTTGAATTATATTATGGGAGGCAGTTTTATTTTCATGAAAGCTTTAAAATTTTAACATAGTTTTTATAATTACATAAGTGACGATAATTGTTTTGTTTTGGTTTAAATTTTTTTTTGTTAATGGACTACAATTTAATTGTGGTATCAAAATTGACTATAATAAATTTTGTTGCTTTTGCAAATGCGAAATTTAGATCTTATAAGATATTATAAATATATTTGTATACATATAAATTTGTAAAAACCGAACGAAAAGAAATATTAATATCAAAATAATGAGGCTTAGTTTATCGCGTTGAAATATGATCCCGTTAGAATATTTTACTTTTTTATATGTACGCCTTAACTTTCGAAAGATTCATCAACACCTCCACCTCCGGCTGCCTGCTCTAGCTCATTAAGCATAATAATTCCCCCAGCTGCTTCATCTACTGCAACTGGCTGAACCCTTGCTTCTGCATTACCATTTAAATTTGCGTTAGGCGGCGGAATCGGGTTACCACCTAAAAAGTATAAAAACGAAACAATAATTACAAAACTAAGATAAAAAAGGAATTTTTTTTTTTTAAATAAAACCTGATTCAACCAAATGAATTATAAAGTTTAAAGCTATGAAACGCACATGTAAAATAAAGGACATAATCTTCTTTTGTAAAAAAATCTGACAATAGCATGGTAACTAAATTATCTAAATGACGATAGAAAAATCCAAATTATACTTAGTTAATGTTATATATGTATATATATTAGAACAAAGATATCGGTAACTATAATATTTTCAAGGACGCTTTCAGCGTTCTTAACAATAGCATGTTGTTATTTTTATGAAAATAAACGTAAAATTATTTGCGCTTAGTGTGATTGATAGTAATTTCTATCAACTTCTATTAATCTATAGTAATTTTAGCTAATGTTTAAAATAGTAAATAATTTCTATAGTTTTTTTTTTAGATTAATGAGTCAGTTTATTACTTACTTGAATCAATTTCCAATGGAGGATCAGCAGTTGCTTCAGCCAAATTTGTTACAGATTTCGATTTGACACACTGGAAATCTACATGACGACTCTTTGCTTCCTCTTTTTCCCACGACATGTGTATAAACGGACGTTGCACATAACTATAAATAACCTAAATTGTTGTTTGTTTATTGTTAATTTATGTACTTAAAAATTTAAATAGACATAAATTTACTTCAGCACGGCCACCTGGGCGCCTGCGTATCTTTTCTTTGTGCGTTGGATATCCTTCAATTCCGCATCTAATTTTTTTTAGACCTCGGTCTTTCATTACTTGCTTGGCAACATCTCGGTTCTCAATATACTTGAAAAATCGATGCATTGCTGTGCTGTGTACAGCTATTAAACATTACCATTAATCACAAATTTGTTTCATAAATATTATTTGTATTATATACTTTGACAATATTCTTCTCCCATTTGAGGTGGAAACTCCTCATCCCAATCGACAACATCATCGTCTAATAAAACTACAACGTGACATTCTCGATCACCGCGTTGTGCGCTATCAACCATCAATGGCAATATTAAGTCTTCAAGAAAAACTTCAAATTGTTGACGAGCACCTTCATTGCTAAGTTCATGTAGAAGACCTCCTTTTTGGAAAAATATTTAGTAAGGAAACGTGGAAGCAATAAATAAAAACAGTAAAAAATAAAAAAAAATATATTACTAAGCTAAAAATTCCTATTTTGTCCCCATAGCATAAAATTTGTTTTAGGTGTCCTTTCGCATTATATGAATGCATTTCTAATATATTTATATTTATTTTGATTATCAAGTCAACTTACGCAAATTTTGGCAGCGGACTGTTGTGGCATCAAATGGTATTAGTAAATAATCACAAGCTTCTTTTAATTCTGGTACCGACACTGTCGGTGGGCACTTTATAATACCACTTTTATAATATTCCAGAATAGCACGAAAAACTATGTGTGATATGCCTTCAGCAACTTCATATTCACCACGGTCGTTCGAATGTACAAATTGGAATCCTGTACTGAACATTGTACCGAGCATCGTATTAGGATGTGCAGTCACCAATGCCTGTTCAATTACAAAACGTACATTATCTACTAACAGCGTAATACGTTCACCAGGTGTAGTTCTAGAACCACTTGCGCTACTTGAACTGGCAGTGATAGCGGTATCACTATGCTTCGACACAGCACCACTTGATGAACTCATAATAGTGTTAGACTTTTGTTGTGGTAATTTGTTACTTATATTACGTTGCATATATGATGTGCTTCTATGTTTGAAATTAAATAAATTTTCAATATATCCATATATTAATGAAAGGAAATAAAATCTGTGCTAACTTTCAAATAGGAAATCTTACCTGTTTCTGTTTTTAATGATTCTTCGTCGTCTTTCTTCAGACTCTAAATTTTCCTCTTCAATGGAAGAGTCACTGTATGAATCTCCGTTCCTTTGTTGTACCTGTTTCTTATTGCTGCTACTATTATTTGAGTTTGGAGAAGTTGTTGACATTTTTTGTAACCAAAAGCAGAGAGGATTTATTCCTCTGCACCTACTCCACTTTGAAGTTGATATAAATCAACAAATTATATGTGAATTTGAGCTGTAAGTCTAAGTTTATTTTTTGGGTTATTTCATTTTGATATAAGGAAACAGAAAATATATAATAAACTGTTGCAAAACTATTTTATTTTTCTCAAATAAAAAATTTTCACTGCAATTTTCTTTGTGCAATATATGTTACTATTATTGACAGAGTTGCCAACGCTGAAATCTTAACAATTTACGTATACTATAAAAGTGTATACAATAGGTCACACATGCGAACTAAAATTTTACTATTTTACCGTATATCATATATACATTCACAAATTTATAAAGCTATGTACTGTATTTATATTTTTACAAACATTTACATTTATTTTAGAGTTACGAAACCCAGGACATCGAAAAGTTTTTTACAAAATCAATAAATGTTTTTATAACAATATATATTGTAAAATATATGTAGCTCAAATATGTGTATTATATCGCTAATATTTGTAAGCAATTACACTAAACTGTTAATTTAATTTGATATTAACATAAATTTATCTGTGTACTTACATTTTTTTAAATACATTGACCATATATAGTAGTAAGTGGACACAAAAAAGCGTTAATCAAGTTCGATAATTGTAGGTGTAAACATAGTAAACCCTTTCAAGGCCCTAGCATAATATTTCCGTGTTAAATAGCAATAGTTTCATAGTAATAATTTCCTAAATAGAAACGTTTTATGAACAAATTATATAGCAGCATTTGACCTAAGAATGTAAAAAAATATTTGCTTATAGCAAAAAATACATACACCAAGCTAAAAAGCCAAAATAACATGCTGCGTGTGAAATTATATTCTAAAGTTTGATATTTTAAAATTTCCTACAAATATTTAGCAAATATTTTGGTAGGTTAACATTTTAGTTATTTAGTACCCTAGGTATATATCATGAAGTAAACTAGTAACAATTTTTTATTTAATCATTTTCGTGTTTATCTGGATAAAATTTTACGGTTTAAGCATATTGGCCATACAAAATCATAGTATATGTGTGCGAGATAAATGCGTACTTAGTTATTAAGTTTATGGGTTTAAAAAAAAATTCCAATATGGCAGTTATGTATGCAAGTTGTAATGAACTCAAAGAGAAAATAAAGCTGCGAATCAAAATAAATTTCAAACAAAAACAAATTGTAAATAAGTGCAGCAGCGAATGAATTTTTAATTTCTTATATAAAATCAATTTTATTCAATAAATTTAAATTTTTTTATATATTATCTATTACATACCGTGTAATACTTAATTTTCAGTAAGGAAAACTATAGTGGGATAATATTAAAAAGTATTTTTAAAAAAAATATTTGTTTCACCATTCGATTAGATAACAAATTGCATATATTAAAAGGTTTCTTAAGCTAAAATTGGTAATTTATATAAGCAAAAATTAAAAAATACTATAAAATGTATAAGGATTTTATATTTTTTTTGTAAGTAAAATTTGTACCAATTTGTAAAAGCTTTCACGAGTTTTTGGTTCTCGTTCAGTACAAATTAGTAAAAACTGTTAAGTGAGATAAGGAAAAATTGTAAGTTTTTACTAGCAATATAACGTATAAAAAGAAGACGGTATACTTCCAGAACAAATGATTTTTTTTCAACTATTGGCAAATGTACAGAACTGCAAAATTTATAAAGATTTCAATACAAAAGTTAGAGAAAATATTTGTTGTATCAAAATTTCAATAAATATTCTATGAATTATTTAAAATAAAACTCATATATAATAAAGTTAGAATTACTTATTATTTACTTAATTAATGATGCTGATATTATTTTTGCTTTTCAATTTCATTTTCCCTTTTTTTTACAAATTTTAAATTTACAAATCAGCTCTTTGTATTTGCTTCATAAAGTGTTTATTGCTAGTAAAAATATGATATATATTATATCTCACTGATTCTGTTCCTTGTACAATTTTAATTGACTTTTGTTAAGGGAGTGCAGAGCTAGCAAATATCAATACTAATTGCTTTAAAGTTCACATGTGGGAATACACCTAATCTTATTAGTTAGAAGCAGTAAAAGAATTCAAACAATTGAAAGCAGCTTATTTATGTAAGCATTATATACGAAATTCGTTAATAGAAAATAGAATAATATAGAAAATAAACGTGACAACTGTATTAAGTTAGAAGAATTTTGGTTTTAGCACATAACTCCTTCAATTAAATTTATAATTATATATAAACTTTTGATTTTACATTTTGTGATCCTCCTTTAGTTACAATTTGTGCTTAATGTATGTTTCCGTGGATTTTCACGTAATTGTGAGAGTTTCAGGTCAGTTTAAATATTTCATTAAAGAGAACAACAGTTATATATGCTTTTATTGAGAAAAATACAGGAACACAGCTATTGTGTTATTTGATCAGCTGATATGTTTTTCATCTTCAAGTACATTGATGTATGGAATGTAAAATATTTGCATGTAGTATTCATTTTATAATATTTACAAATAATTGCAACACGAAATATGTACGATTGTGAAATATTTAAAACTTTTACTAATAAATTAATTTATTGTATAATATTCTTCTTAAATGCAACACTGCATAAAAATATTTTCACAAAATGGCGGAATTCGCCTGTGAAAAAAAACAACAAAATTAATTGTGACAAGAGCAATTGTGCACTAAAGAATAAAAAAGAAATAATGTAATAGAAATTATAAATACAAAGTGTAACTAATTTACGCGTGTTAAATAAATCGCGTACTATTTGAAAACTAAAAAATTCTTAAAATGGATTGTACGACGAATTTGTTAAAAAGTAGATAGTGCGGTGAAAAGCGCGACAAGGGCCATACGATTACGGCACGGAGTGCTAGAGCAAAAATTTTTGTTGCAATTCGCATAAACCGATCATGCCTTAAATGTAATTATGGGCGATTATATTGGTGGCAGATATGTTTTTTTCATGGTTTTAAGGGATAAATAAAAAATGTATGGAAAATATTTAATTAAAGTTGATATAAAAACATAACATGAAATTGTGTAAAAGAATCTTATTTTCAATAAAGTTGCGGCGAATAAATTCATGAACACTTTTTTTTTAGAAAATGCATATACAGTGAAACTAGGAAAAAAATTTTTTAATATGTGTGAAGAAAACAATTATCATATGGTTGTTTCTTTCTAACCCCACGGAATTGTTGAAAGTAAATAATAGCCTGTTTTGTAGAAATTCGCAGTTTGGTAGATTAATTCGCCGTGCAAATTGTATGACAGCGCGCGATTGAAGTGACATCTCTAGTCCAAAATATATACCTTAATGATGATTCCACGGCGAAAACAAACGAATTTACGGAAAAAAACAAAAGCGATGTAAATTATAAAATATACTTATTTGTTCAAAATTTAATAATACACAAATCATACACTAAAATTTATGTACTATATACATAAATATATACATGTAAATATATGTATATAATGTATATGAATTTTTGAAAACATTGAATTTCTTCCGCTATTGTGTTATTAATTTCATTTAATACACAAATGTATTTATTTAAATTCTATAGTTGATAAAAATTCTGTAGTTAATTGATTATGTTTATATAACCTTATAACTTATTTTTGTTTAAAATAATAATTTTTATATTTTCTTTGACTCGGTAGAAACATGTTAACAGCTCTGTTATTTAACATTGGTATATGTGGCGAAAACAATAAATAGCAATAAAAGAAACAACAAAAATTACAGCGAAAATTTAATAAACCCATTTTGTTTTCAGTTCATACAAAACAAGCGTAAATATATTAAATATAAAATTATATTAATTAAAATAAAAATCGAATATTCCTCATAAAGATGAAATAAGAACTGAACTGAACTGAGAAGCATAAAGTAAAATTTGTGGCACGTCTAAAGGAAAATATACATAAATACACACTGCGAATACAGTGCAAAGTGAAGGCGGAAAATCGACACTAAAAAACAATAAGGTGAAAAACTGTTTTCATACATAAAAGTAAACGCAATTAAAAGTATTCTAAAAAGTTGATTGTTTTTTAAAAAAAGGAATTTATTGTAACTATTTTCGCGCCAAAAAACACAAAAACACAAAAAAACAAAACAATTTTACTGAACTAACAAATACGACGGGAGTGATGAAAGAAGTTGGTGGATGACTTCCACACCTACTTTTTGTTAAAAATTATTATTGCAAAAGTGGCTTTTCTGTGGAATAATTTGTGTGTCTTCATGTTGTCCAGGCGGCGGCTGCCACCTCCACACTATTCGCTCAGCAGCGTTACAATTCCCAATCCTCAAATTGTAATTTTATATTTATTTACATTATTGATCCGAGAGGGTCTTCTTCATAAATACAACACAAGTTGCAGTTGGTGCGGCGTTTGTGGCCTTAAGCATGTAGTGAGTATAATAAAATTCTATTTATTCCTAAAATATTTGAAATTGCATAATATTAATTAATATGGAATGTTTAAGATATTTAAACACAGAGCGATTAAGATGTATATACCTTGGCGGTTACTCTAAGCAAAATATAAACTTTTCCTAGCTTTAGTTTTGGTTAAGCTGAACGATTGAACGATTCTAGAAATTGAGATATATCTACCAAGTACCAAGTCAAGTAGTTAAAAACTTATAATAATGGCATATATGGAGTGGGAGTTTGCACATATTATTATCATTATTTTAATAAAGTCATAAAATAGTGAAATTTCATTTATATGTTCTAGTTAATGCAAAATTTGAATACATCATTGAATTTTTCTAAACTTCATTCTGATTTATTTGAGTCCGCAATTTTTGTATATTTAGCTTTAGTCGTATCAAAACATTCAGTATTGATTTTATTATTTCATCTTTAGATTGTATATTTTTATAAAACAAAATAAAACAAGTGTTAAAATACTTAATTATATCAATATTTTATTTTTCAGGTCTTGTAATCTTCGTTTCTAAAGCGCGCAAAAAAGAACAAATTAATATATCACTCCATCCAAAAACGAAAATCATACATACCTAAGTTAAATTAAAAGGATTATTGTAAATGAATATTAATAAAGTGCACACCACAGCATAAAAAATAACATTATAAATGTTGTGCTAAATAGCGTTAAAATAAAAAAAAACATATCTCTACTATCTCTTTCGACAATATTTTCTTAATACCAATGAAAAATGTCACAAAGAGGTAAACGAGGTAATCACCAGCATCATCAAAGACTTGATGTTGAACCACAACCACCACCTACGAAACGGCGTAAAGGTCGACCGCCTAATGGCGGAGGTGGGACAGGTAGCATTGGACCTAATAATAATGCTGCCTTAAATTTTGGATCAAATGCATCTTCTATAAGCAATAGTAATGTAAATAATGAGAATAATCCGATAAATGACGATGCAACACCATCAACAAGTACAAAGGTTATTGCTAGCCAAGGATCATCCTCTTCGGTTGCGGCTTGGCAAGCACGTTCTGTTGCAGACATTAAAATATCTAGTATATACAATCGAAGTTCAACGGAAGCGCCTGCTGAATTGTATCGGTAAATCAAGACAAACTATTTTTATTTTTGAATTTTTAATCTTTAATTTTTATATTTTTAAAAATTTACAGTAAGGATCTCATTAGTGCAATGAAACTGCCCGATTCTGATCATTTACAAAACAATGAGTATATTATTGTTACTGATCAATGGAAACAGGAATGGGAGAAAGGTGTGCAGGTACCTGTGAATCCCGATTCGTTGCCGGAACCTTGCGTGGATGTACTGTCTGAACCACTTGTGCCACCTGCGAACGACTTCAAACTGTAAATGATCAAACTTATGGTTTTGTTTATGTTCATATAATTGAATTTTATCATTTCATCTGTTTTAGACCGAAAAATCGTTTCCTGCGCATTACCAAAGATGATACATACTCACCCGATAAACATTGTTTAACGAATGTAGTATCAAGAGCGGAAAATACTTGTGCCTATGATATTGATCCAGTTGATGAAGAGTGGTTGAAAATTTTGAATTCACATCGTGCGGTCTATGGTGCTTTTGCGATTAATGAAGCTCAATTTGAGCGTGTTATCGAAGAACTCGAAGTAAGTAACATATAAATATTTATTTTATTTGATTTTGAGGTAATATTTTTGAACAGGTTCGATGCTGGGAACAAATACAAGTTATTCTGAAAAGTGAAGAAGGCCTTGGCATTGAATATGATGAAAATGTTATATGTGATGTTTGTCGTTCTCCCGACTCTGAAGAAGCAAATGAAATGGTATTCTGTGATAATTGCAATATATGCGTACATCAAGCTTGTTACGGCATTACAGCTATTCCATCAGGTAAGTACAACTGTTTTGAGTATTTAATTACGATGGAATTATATCGATTTAATTTATTCTGATATATATCAGATAAGGTGTGTTTTTGGGGAGGTTGAACCACATTTGGTCGTCGAATTCGACGAATGCCTCCAGGAACCTTAAATTTACTTTGGTGTTATATTAATATTTAATTAATTCAATTAAATTATTGAAAAATATACTTTGAAATTATTGTATAGAGATAATAATTGCGAATCCTTGCGATTTTCCAGCAAAGAATTTACTAAAATGTAAACATTTAATAGTTCTATGCATTAATTTTTTTAGTCTGAGGACTTAATAGTATGTATTTGAATTACCAGCAAAATACGTAATCGTTTATGTTAGCTATAGTATTTTATATTTTTTAAAAAAAAATAATCTTATTTAAGAAAAAGAAAATTTATCTCTAATTATTCAGTTAACACTCTAAGTTTAAAATGTTAGACTGATTTGTTTTGAGTCGTTTAAAAATCTGACAATAACATCTTGTCACAGTCTTGACTTCTTATTGAATGTGTGAGGTATAAATATGTATAAATTGTGGTAGTCGAAAATATATATAAATATTATTATTATTATTATTTTTATATTGGAGTTTAACATTTACTTTATTGTTAAATTTTGAAGGTCAATGGCTGTGTCGAACATGCTCGATGGGCATTAAGCCGGAATGTATGCTTTGTCCGAACAAGGGTGGCGCAATGAAGTCGACTAAGTCGGGCAAACATTGGGCGCATGTATCCTGTGCATTGTGGATACCCGAAGTTAGTATTGGATGTGTGGATCGCATGGAACCAATTACTAAAATTTCAAGCATTCCACAAAGTCGTTGGTCTCTAATATGTGTTTTATGTCGGGAACGTGTAGGAGCATGCATACAATGTTCCGTGAAAATTTGTAAGACTGCTTACCACGTAACTTGCGCATTTCAACATGGTCTGGAAATGCGTGCTATTATAGAGGAAGGTAATGCTGAAGATGGAGTTAAGTTACGATCGTATTGCCAAAAGCACAGTTTAAGTAAGGGCAAAAAAGAGGGAAAGAATTCTAAAAATAAAAATAGTAATTCGGCGTACGGCTCCGGTGGCGAGGATGAAGATGTTCGTAGGAGAAAAAATCGAAAAAACGATATGACGTCAGAAGAACGTAATCAAATAAGAGCGCAACGTTTACAGGTAAGTAATCGTAAATATTGTGATAGTTTACATGTTTTACAATTCATCCAACCATATATTTATTTGTTTTTTTGTTTTTTTGTTTATTTTTAAAACTATGTTAATAAATTTTTTTACACAATGTAATAGGAGGTCGAAGCGGAATTTGATAAGCATGTAAATATCAATGACATTAATTGTCATATTTTTGATGTCGACGAGGGTGCAATTGAATCCATTTATAATTATTGGAAGTTGAAAAGAAAGTCAAGACAGAACCGGGCTCTGATTCCACCAAAATCGGAGGATGTTGAAATGATTGCACGTAAACAGGAGCAGCAGGATTTGGAAAATCATAAATTATTTGTACATTTACGGCAAGATCTTGAACGAGTCAGAAACCTTTGTTATATGGTTAGCAGAAGAGAAAAGCTGTCACGCTCCCTTTTTAAATTACGAGAGCAAGTATTTTATAAACAAGTGCAAGTTTTAAATGATGAGAGTTTACGTAATGGAGAATCTAATTCGAAAACTGAATTCGACGAATCGTTCAAAAATGCTGTTATTTATGCAAATGACGGACCTACATTATATGATAGATTTTATTCTTCTTCGAATATCAATACAATTCCATCAGAGTGTACGAATTTGGACTTCATCACTGAAAAACTACTAGGTAATGGAAAAGGTAAAAGTTCAAAAAGCATTGGAAGTAGAACATTACCATCAATGTCAACATCAACTTCAACATCAATATCACCGACAAAACGGAAAACAGCTTTATCAGGAGTTAATAAAACGTTTCCAAATAAAAAAGTTAATAATGGTGCAATTGGAATTCGTTCATTGTCAAGTGCTGGAAAAACTGGTGCGACAGAAAAATCGAAAACTTTAAAAAGTACAAATGCTAGTCGTCGCAGTAGTTTATCTGTTGGAAGTAGTATTGATAAGAACTCCAGAGCAGCAACTATTAGTAAAAATGCTACGAAAACTAGAGGTCGTGCTGTTAAAGGAGCTGTGAAGAACTCAAGTGAAAATACTGATAAAAAGTCGCAAAAAAGTTGTGTTGGAAGCAGTAAATCTTCTTCAGGTAGTTCTTCTGATGATGATTCATCTACTGAAGATGGCAGTTCATCTGGTTCAGGTAGCACAGCTTCGGGTTCAGAGTCGGGATCAAGTTCATCTGCGTCAAGTTCGAGTGGTAGTATACAATCCGCAGGCAAGTCCGCAAATAAAGCAACAAACCGTAAAAAACAAACTTACTCTCGTTCTGTTGAGATGCGTCAAAAACAAAGAAGAAAAAGTATTAGTATTAGTGCTCAAGCTGGTGTTAATTCTAAAACGCAAAATACGGCGCTATCATTTTCAAGTGATGAAGATGATATACATGACGCAGTTAAAAGTAATAAATCAGTACCTGTAAAACAAGTAAAGCATTCCAATTCGAACAATTTAAATCTCCTGTCAAACTCTACAGCTACGTTGTCAAATCGTGGCAAAGATTTTCTTTCTCAAATCGAAAGAGAACTTCAAAAAGATAAAGGATCTGGGTGTTCATCTAGTGATGAGAGTGAAGTGTTATTGCCTTTAAAATCAACAGTAAATAAAAGTAATAGTGCGAAAAACTCGAGAAATACAAACTCAAATGTTTTGGGAGTCGCTAGTCGTAAGACTGTACAGGAAATATATTCAGATTCGGAAAGTTCTTCAAGTCCTGAAGATAAAGAAGAAAGAACTGCCGAGAGTAATGTAAGTGATTCACAAAATCAGCAAACTATTCGCACAAAAGCAGCTTTGAAAGAATTTACACTTCAACAGCAATCCAGTAAGGCTAAAAGAGATTTGGCACTGGCACTGGCACCACAACAAAATGTCATCAAGGCAGAGAAAAAATCGAGCCGATCAATTGAAAGTAATATTTTAGAGAGTTCTGTTGAATCCAGTAACAAGAATAAAAAGCCAAACGAAACAGTAAATAAAAATCAAGTGCAATCTAATAAGAGCAAGAATGAACAGCTCAAATTTCCAGCAGATTTGTTGGTTGTTCCTCAGAGACAAGCAGCCAAGAAAGCTTCTGAAAATATGCGCTCTACAAATATTTATAGTGGACCTGTTAACTGCACACAACCAATATTACCTTCAGTGGTTGGAGCTGCAAGTGTTCCTTTACAGCGAGAATGTGATAAATCAAAGGAAGGTGAAAAGGCAAAACCAAAGGATTTAATCTCAGGAAACAAAAATGATGAGAAGGCTGAAAAGTTGCGTGCCAAAGAGAAGTCTTTAATTAGCAGTAGCAGTAATGTAAGTGGCACGAAAGCTTCAGAAACAGTCGAAAAACCATCTGGAAAACGAGGTCGTCCACCTAAAGTGACAAAGGATGCTAATAAAAGTATAAATAGATCTTCTGCAATTCTTCCTAAGGATGTGGAATTGATGTCTGATATTGGTACTTCAATGATCAATCCAAAAGAAGATAAAAGTGCCACAAATAATGAAAATATCGAAAATAGTGCCAAACGAACAACGTCTTCTGTCGCAATAACGAAAGAGCCAAGCCCAATACGAGTACTTTCAGAATCAGAAAAGTCCGAAAATAAAAGTGCTTCCAACGCATCAAAATCAAACGATGTGTCAAAGAATAATGTGTTTGTAGCTTACGTACCTCAACGGCAAGCAGCTAAAAAAGCAGCCGAACAGCTTAAAAGTAGTGGAAAGATTCCATTGGCATCTGACGTTGTTACTCCTACAGACGAAAAAGAGCGAATTGTGACTGAAAAGGATACCAAGATAAAAACTCCAGAAAATCGACCTAAGCAAATGACAGGGCGCAGAATGTCAGTTCGTGATACAACACAAACAACACTAATTTCAGGAAGTGGAGCAAATGCAGCAAGTGCAGCAGTTAAAGAAAGTGTGCCGAAAACACCAACTAACACAAGGCGTCGCTCTAAAGATGTATCCGACATAAATCAACAACAAACACCGAAAAAGCAAGTGGAAAAGCGATTAGCAACAACTACTTCAAGTTCAGAATCTGATAGTAGCTCCTCTTCGTCATCTGGAAGTAGTAGTAGTAGTAGCTCTGATTCCTCAGATGAAGCAAGCGAAGTTGAAGAAGAGCGTGTAACTCGTTCAGGTGCTGTCAATAAGAGATCGCCCAGAAAATCGATTGATAAACCTATACCTGTTACTCGTCAAAATTCGATAACAAAATCTCCAAAAGTTTCACCTCAAAAACAATTACGACGAAATATCAGTAATACCAGTAATAGTAGCTCAGGTAACAATGAAGAGAGTTTATTACCGCCAAAAGCTGTACAGAAACCAGTTAGGAGAAAATCGACAATATCTGAAGATAAAACGAAGAAAACCGTCACAAAAACAGTATTAGAAGACGATAACAGTCCCGAGATAACAACGAATTCTGTGCGAACAAGAGCTATGCGGCGATCAAAATCTGGTGCAATATCTCCGGTACCAGTTCTAAGTACAGAAGAAAATGAGGTCGAACCAAAACTTGATACTAAAGCAATATCACAAACAACAACAGCAACAACAACAACAACAACAAGAACATCAGATGGAGACCGTGAGATTATAAATGAAGATATTAATGAAATTTCAGAGAAAAATAGCAATAACAAAGTCACATCGCTGGCTACTCTTAACTTAGAAGAAGAAATTGCACAACGTAAAGCTTCAAATACGAATATTTCAACGTCAAATATATCTATTGGCGCTAGAAACCAAAATAAAAACCTTGGGTCATTGGATAAATTGCTTAACAAGAAAGAGTTGGAAATTATTCGCAGTAGTTCTTACTCTTTAATAACACCACTTACAAGCGTGGAAAAGCAGGAGGAAATTGACAAAAGCAATAGTTTATTAGCACAAAGAATTATAATTGATACCAAAAATGAAGCTGGTGAGTTACCAATGGATATAGACGAAGAACTAACGACTGCATCTCGTCACACAACATTGCCATCTAGTAAACTTGCTGAACTGACAGATATTGATGACAAACCTCCGGCAGCACCACTACCCGCCTCGCCATTACCTTCTCCTGTTGCTTCTAATGATGAATTAACAAACGGTTCAAACGGTTCAAACGGTTCTGATGATAATAATTCTGATAATGACAATGATACTAATTCCCATCGACGACGTACTCGTCGTCGACGCATCAAACCTGGTAGCTTGCCAATGTCGCCCGAAGAACATACACATCACACACAACATTTGCTTAATGAAATGGAACTGGTTCAAGCTCTGAGAGAAGAAGAGGAACGTAAAAATGAACTGGCTAATGCAAGTAAATATTCTGCTTCGTCATCTTCGCCGGCTGTTGCAGTAATTCCACCAGAACCTCCAGAAATTATTGAATTGGATTCAAATTCCAATTCAGTAGAAAGTGAACGGCAAAAACAAGAGAAATCACAGGATACACTTAGTATTGGAAAAGCAGCTGCATCTGTTTCAACTACAACTCCCTCAACGAATTCATCTTCAAATTCTTCAGAATCTTCAATTAAGAAGAATACTCAAGAGATTGCAAATGAGCTTCTAAACGAATCAAAAATGCCACTTAATGAATCTCAGACAAGTTCTAGTTCTAGTTTAAATAAAAGTGCTATTTCAGATATAGAAAGTGGCCATCAACCAATCGTCGACACGATACTAGATATGGTGGAAGATAATGAAAAACAAAAAGAGCAACAGAAAAAGCAACAAATTAGTTTATCAAACTCCCTACTAGGACCGGTCGCTTTTAATGCTACTGTAAATCCAGATCTGGGACAAGCAACAGGTTTAAGCCTTTTGAATACAACTGTTGATTCAGTTAAACAAATCTCTGAAGAAGATAGCTTTGAAGCTACTAGAAATCTGCTAGAAAAATTAAGAAAAACAAAAAAGAATCGGCAAGAAGACTCTAAAGATCCAGATTTGCTAATGCCGCCTCCCACTCCCGCAATACCATCAGTATTTCCATTTCATAATGCTGCTGATCCAGAAGATATTATACATGTGCAAAAAGAAAACGCTGCTGCAGCTGCTGCAGTTGCGGCTGCTGCAGTTGCTTCTGCTGAGCTCAGTAATAGTCTGTTTAATGTTGAAAAGAATATATCTACGGTGGGTTTAAATGATGTTTCCATACCAGTATCAGCAACAAACTCTTATAATACGACACCTCGATCGGTCGGATCTACACCGGACGCAACACCAAATGCAGCAATAATGAATAGTAACAATAGTAGCAATTTGGGTCCAAATGGTCTTCCGTTTGTTGAGAATACTGTTAATTTTGGCGATAAGAACGTTCCAATGCCTGTGTCAATATCGCCAATGCAACAAATTCAAAGCCAGCCGCACACTCCTATTGTTAATTATCATCAACAACATCAAATGGAAGTAACACCTAATGTTGCTGAAATTTCATCCTATCTTCAAAAGGAGCTTAATGAAAAACCACAGTGCGCTAAAACGAGATCTGGAGTTGAATGCTTTAACAAATTAACAAATGTTGGGACAGCAAATACAACACCAGATTTTGTTGATTTACATGCAGCTGCAAATGCTAAAGATAATTTAGATTTTATAACAGCAACCGGGTCTGTTGGGAGCAATAAACTAATTGTTGATTGTGATTTCGATGAGAACACAAGAATGCAATCACCATATACAATGCGTGCATCTCGAATTTGGAATGAAAACGATTTAATTGCTGCTAGGCGTTCTTCTTCACCGAGCTCAGTATCTGAGTCTAATGATCAAGCTTCCGCAATGGAACTCCAACAACAACAACAGCAACAACAATCACATCAACATCAACAAAACAAACAACAGCTTCAGCAACAGCAACAACAACAGCTTCAACAACAGCAGCAACAACCTAATCAACAACAGCAACAACAACCTAATCCAACAATACACCAACAGCAACTTCATCAAACGAATCACTCTCAGCAAATTGGCCAGTCATTAAATCCGCAAACGCATCTTGCACAACAACAACAACAACAGCAACAGCAAAGACTTGCACAGCTGCCATCAAATAGTATGCCCAACAGTAATGCAATAAACAATCAGAACGTAATGCAAGTGAATGATACTCAAAACTGTAAAAACTACTTTGCGTCTATGGATGCATTTGGGTTGCAAACATCTTTTAATCATGCGATGCCTCAACAACAACAGCAAACTCATCAACAGTCACCAATGGTCAATGGTATAGATGCTATGATGTCTTATGGTCAAGGTTACAATCAGCAAACAACTCCCACACATGCCACACATGCTAATCAGCAACAACTCACACAGACGCCAAATACAGGTAATCAATATAATGGTGCAGTCAATCTATTCCATAATGCTTCAACTTCATTATCAAATTTAAATCAAATTCCATTTGGTTCGAATGCATCGGGTGGTGGTGTTATGTACCCCTCTGGAAGTTGCATAGGTGGTAATGTCTCTATGACAACAGCAACATCCAACGCCTCGAATGATCCGTCGCAGTCGCATTCCCTCTATGGAATGGGAGGAGGCGATGTGAATTCAGCTGTAGCAAATACAGGCATTAACAACAATGCTCAACAACCGCAATATGGTGGAGCGGCCTTTAGTTCATCTACTCATAATATTTCACTTACTGCATCTATTATTGGTACACCAACTGGCCCTTCACTAATAAATCATTCACCCCATCAAGTACAAATGCATGGACAGCCACAATCTTCACAATACAAATTCACTCCCCCAGATGGTGCTAATTCTGCTTACAATGCAATGATGAGTAGTTGTGTTGAATCTATGCTACCTACACAGCCTCAAACAGCAGCTGTTTCGCAGCAAAATCAGCAGCATACGTCACCGACGAAGGAATCACCCACAAAACGTTCTTCAACCCGCTACAATCAGCAGCAGCAGCAGCAGCAACAGCAGCAGCATATACGAAACTCACACAAATCACCACAAGTGCAGCATAAATCACCTGGAAAATCACCGCGACAAATGGAATTATTAAACAAATTGCAACTACAACAACAACAACAGCATACTCATACTGATTTTACAAATATTCCGCAGAAACCGCCGAAATATGATCCAATGACACACACTTTGGCAGGTAAGCCACGTCAAAGAGCACCGCGTGGTACTGGAGCTGGTGCGCGTGGTCGGGGTCGTGGTCGGGGACGAGGACGAGGGGGCAGTACGACAAATGCAATCATATCTTTACCAACCGCTATTAGTGATTTTGGTAGTAATACACACATTGTAAATAATCTAGTCGGTACTCCATATGAGTTTAACTACGATGAAGATTTGGCATCTTCTGGCGTAGAAAATCTCCAAAGTTTACGAGATCGAAGACGTTCTTTTGATTGTCGAAATAATCCTAATGTGTTGTCACATCCACAGACAGCGGCAGATCAACATAAATACACAAGTCCTTCATATGCCAGTTGCAAAGTTAGAACGGCTGGATCGACTCATTCAGCAGCTGGATCAACAAGTTCAATGTCCAATTGTACTAACGGAAGTAGTCGGGTATCACATTTAAGTAATGCTCTTAAACCGAATACAACAAATGATCACACTGCACAGCAATCTATCCTTCACTCTATTGTGCAGCCGGTACTGCCTGGTCCAGTGGACATGCGTACCTATAATCTTGCTTTCGAAGCACAACATTCCTCCGCGTCTCAAGAAGCGTACAATAATAATCTATTAGGTGCTTTTGAGTCAGGAACAGCCGATCAAACGCTATCAGAATTTGATGAAGAAGATGAAAAAGAGTTTCAGTCGGTATTACGAGCTACTGGTACAACAATTTCTGCAAAACAGTTAAATCCGAATGCGTCAGCTGCTCCTATTAGTAAAACCGATTCAAGTACATCAAAAAGTAATAATGTAGGTGCGATGTTGTCGACGCATTCAAATGCTGCAGCATGTGGAATTTCGAATACAGTTGTATCTGATTTGATATTACCGCCAGATTTACAAACATCAATGGAAACTACTTCAGAAGAAGTGTCAATTGATTCCGATACAACACTAGCAACGAAAACATCTCTTTCGGATTCACGTAATCAACTGAAGTTAAAAATTAAAGGTCCGCTTGCCTACCCTGACAACTACAATTACAGTACGAGCACAGTTAATTCGTTGTCGCTGAACTTAAGCTCACATACAAATAGTGTAGTGCAGTCCAGTGCAGGAATGGTGCAGTCATCGGTATCGGCACAATTGACAGCTACAATTGTCAGTACATCAACAGGTGGAGGAAGTAGCAGTAGTGGAACGAATTCTAGACGTATGCGTAAAAAAGAACTTTTGAGTTTGTATGTTGTGCAAAAAGATAACAATGACGATTCGTCCAGTGGTCTACCAGCAACAGATGTGAACTTGTCGAATGTGATAGATGGTATGAGAAAAGTTGATGCCTTAGGCAGCGGGTTAGATGAATATAGTGCAGATTTAAGCACTGGTACAACAAAACGGTTTAAAAAGAATTCTAGTAGAGAATTAAGATCGTTAGATGTTGCTGATATAAGTGAAGTTGGTGGCAAACCTGCAGGTAGCGAGGGTCGTAGGCGTAGTGCGTGTTCGTCGGGTAGTAACGATAATGGTAAAATTGGTGCTGCATCAAGTGCAGGTAAACGACGTGGTCGCAGTAAAACTCTAGAAGGCCACGATGATGAACCTACACCGAAATTAAAAATTAAAATACGTGGATTAGGTGATGGTAATGTAAGTGCGACAACTGTGACAAATAACAAAAACATAAATAATAGTCATGCCACCGAAGCAACTAAACGATTGGTTGCTTGTCCACCAAAGAAACGTTTAACAACTAATTACGCGCCTCCTACATTAGAAGACCTTAGACGCGAGTCCATGAACTACCGTAAATTGGTTATGCAAGATTTTGGTGATGATGAAGATGAACGGACTCGACACAGCAATACTAGTACACCATTGCTGGAGCCGACGGAAGAGCTGCATACTAAAAAACCGAAGTCTTCGAAACCGAAGAAAGATAAAAAAGAAAAACGGCGCAATAAGGAGAAAATAAGCATTAGTATTGGAGAGAACGCAGAGAAAATGACAGCTACTATTGTCGAAAATAATACAAAGGCATCAACGGGTGAAGTTCCTAAATTGATAATACACTTGGGTAAACGAAAGAATGAAACTGATTTGCAAGCACGTGTAAAAACCCCTCCTCCAACAACAACTGACAATGCAACAATAGCAGCACCAATACGTTTAAAAATTGCACGTGTGTCTGATGGTGGTGGTTATGTTATTGGATTTAAGAACAAAAAGGCGAAAAGAAATTCAATTCCAAATACATCGGAACCAAACTCAGCTATTGGAAATAAATGTGAAACTGAAACGCTAAGTAATACACCAGCTGCTGTTGAAAATAGCAGCGCGAAACTGAAAACAGTGATTCCATCACCCACTGTTGTAGCTGAGCCAATGAATAACTTTATAAATACCTCACATGATCAAATGACAACTGCCTTAGAAATGGCAAAAGATTCGGGTACACCGTCACCACGTCTGGTAATCGATGCGGGAAATGCACACGATTCTAATACGGCAAGTTCCTTTCACGAAGATCACTCAGCGGGCGTAGCAAACACTAAAGTAAATAACACAAATTTGCGTACAAGCAACCAACCAATATTGATGACCAATTGCAATGATAACAGCAACAGCAACAGCAATACCAACAGCAGCTTAAGTGTTGCTAATAATAATAACAATAACAACAACAACAATAATAATAATAACAGCAATATGAACAATAACAGCAACAGTCTTACTGGTACCAACAGTAGCAGTACGAATAGCAACAGCAACAGCAATAGCAACAGTAACAGTAACAGTAACAGCAACAGTAACAGCAACAGCAACAGTAACAGCGACAGCAGCAGTAACATTAACAGCAGCAGCACTAGCGATTTACTTCCATTAAACAAAGACTGTGAAGTTAGATGATAATCATAAAGTCTATTCCAAGTAATACTTTATTTAATTTTTTGTATATTTCTGAAATTTGTAAATTGTGCAACAACTAATAATTGTATAATATTTCGCTTAAGTTATTCATTTAATTTATATGTTAATTAATAATTTTTTATGTGTTTAATATGATTTGATTTTGTTCAATTTGTTTAATTTTAGTCTTTTTATGTGTGTACAGTTCATTTATATTGTTTAAATGGGTTTATTTATGTGTTTAAGTTAAATTTTTACTAAGTATATTATTGAGATTTTTTCTATTTTATATATCGTATTTATTTCTATATTATTTCATGGTTATTAATTATATCTACATATGTTAATATTTAAATTTTTTTTTTTTTTATTAAACAATTCGTTTTTCAATTACATATATCCTTACATATGTATGTATCGCTAATTTTTTCCTACATAGCGTTTATGCTTCTTATACGCATACATACTTACATTACATTATACTGGTATAGGTTATACATATATATATATTTATTATATAACAATTACGTTAGCGAAAAGAAAAAATTTCATATATTTAAGTCAACAAAGCGATAAAACGATAGAACGATAAAATTAGTTACAAAATGTTGTATATATAACGTGTAAATAGTAAACCTTAATTTTATGTATATGAAGCATGTTCACAAATATATATAATAATGCGAGTATATAAATATTTATTAAAGTTTGTGTACTCGAATTTAGTAAAATGAAGCCAAGTTTGTTATAATTTAGTTAGAAATACATATTTAAGTAATATATTAGTCGAAAATGTAGTAAATCGTTCACAGATGAAACTCAAATTACAACCACACAAACACACACAATCATCGGCAATTTATTAATAAATTTATATAATTAATAAAAAATTTATATTACATAGAAAAGGAAGAAAACTATACAAAAAATATTAGCATTAAACAAAATGAAAAGAATAAATTATATATAAAATTATATAAAATTAAAGTAGCAAAAGCCTAATTAGGCAAGAGCAATTAAATTTAATATTTCGAATAATTTTTACTTCTAAACTGAAATATAAAAAAAAATTGAAATATTTTTTTAAAAAAAAATCATATAACTAAAAGTGATTGGGTGTGTTGGTGGAAGGGTGGAATAGTAAGCGTCTGTGCTATGCAGAGTGTTCAGTCTTAAATAGTGTGTTTATTATAAAAAATGTATTGTTTATCTTATACCATAAAACGATGCATGGAGTGTATGTATATATGTAAGCATGTGGATGATGTGTGAAAATTGTGGGACTAAAAGTACTCTTAATTGCGCTCTTAAAAATAATATTTGACAACGTAAAAACGATTGTAAAAATTTTGAATTAATTTTTCCATTTCGTTATAAAGCATAAAAATAAATTATACTCAAGTTTCCAATGCGCTTCAAAAGTACCAAAAATTATAAATAAATTTGCATTTACAGTAATATGTGCTTGAGTAGTATCAAAAATAATTTTCAAAACCACTTTTAGTTAATACTTGAGTTCTATTCTTCGTGTATTTGTAGAGATGATGGTATTAGGGGAAAAAAAATTAACCATGAATAGTAAAATAGTAAATAGTAAATCTTAAGTGATTAAATGAACTATCGTAGCTGATATATCTACAGCCTTTTAAGCACAGTGTAAAATTTTTAACAAACTAATAATGTTAAACATTCCTCTTAGGGATAATTTTAAAAGTAATGAACTATTTTAGACTTTTAAACTATATCGAAAGTATAATCGAAGAGGTTTTTGTTTTAAAATAAATACAGAATTGCTTGAATTATATCATATAATCTCTGAAGTCGCCGAACATGATTAGTTTCATCCACAATTAATGAGTTTACAATCTTAAAATATTTAGAACTACATATCTAATCACATCTTTCATGTAGAAAATATTTACATTCTCTTTCTCTTAACATTAAGATGTTCAATTATATATAATAATTTTATTAACAATCCTTATAACTGCATTATGTTTCGTCAGGAGCGAAGTTTGACATTAATTTTATATAGTGCATTAAAAATGTCTGTATATTAGAGTGTGAGAAGTTCAAGAAAATATTAAAAAAATCAGCAAATATGAAAGTGGAGTATGTAGTCAAGTTTCCTTAAAAATATTTAGTTGTCCTTTTAATTAAAATACCATTTAACTCATAGATAAATAATTTTATATACATATTAATATTTTTGAATTTATTTCATTTATTTTATTAAAAAAGTTTAAAATATTGTAAACCCAACAATATTAAGTACGTCTGATAACAGTCAGCAGTACTCTAATTATCGGTTTACTATATCCAAATTTCAGCAGTCCTGATAAGATTACCATTTAACGAGCTTTTAGTCCCCAGTATGAGTGATTGGATATAAAAATTTGTATTATACAAAAACAAAAACAAAAAAAAAAATTAAAAACAATTAGCCTTGTGTATATAGATTATATAATATATTATTTTCTTTTGCAATTTGTTATTCGACACTTTAATTGCTATTTATTTTTATTTGTAATAAAAAAAAAATTTTTTAAATTTTTAATAAGGCTGTTTTAAATTACACTGAGATTTGTATTATGAGAAATTATAAAATTAATTTAAAATTGTTTAATAATTTAAATTGGAAAACAAAATAATATGTGAGGGCCTAAGGCCGGTGAAAATGTGCATTCTGAATTTTTTTCATTTTAATTTATATTTAGTTATATACAACTGAAAATATACTTTGCAGTTTAAGTATCGCTTAAATGTTGTTTATGATTTTAAAGACACACACACAAATATAAATATGTTATTTTTTCAATTAGAAATTCTATTTTTTTTTCCAATACAATATGTACAATAAAAAAAAAATAAAACAAAACCAAAATCTTAAATAAAAACGCAATTGTCAATTACAACAACAAAAACATATGCATAGTTTAAAATTTTTATTAAATGTATTTAAATAAACCATATAATAAAATTAATAAAATAAATATAAGATAAATGAATTTCTGTAAAATTTCACAGTTAAAATATTTTGTATCAAAATTGAAATTTATATACATAAAAACATAAAAGCAAAAAAACAGAATTTCTGATTAAAAATCCATTAAAATGATTTCAATGTGCGTTTTTTATTCAAAAAAATGTAAAAATTCATAAATTAAATAAATTAATAATGAAAAAATTTATTACAAAAAAAAATTATTTACTGCAATAATTTAGATTAAAAACACTTGTTAGTCGTAAATTCTTTTAATTTGTATTAGAACGAAAAATGTTTAAATGTCTTTATAAAAAATTTTTGTATTACAAAAATAATTAAAAAATTTGTTTTCTGTAAAGAATAATTAATTGTAAAATAATTTTATGAAAAATAGGCAACACTTATTGATATTCAACTGCAAAATATTTTAAAATGTTATAGTAACAATTGTATTGGTAACAAAACTGCAAATGATTGTGAACAGAGTCAGTCCCAGAGCCTAATTGTGAATAGAGTCACTTGAATCCAATAAAAGGCATTTCGGATGAAAAATAATTCGCAAATCTTTACAATAGGTAATAAGCAAAAATAAGTTCCTGCTTTAAAAATGTTTCATGTCTTAGTCTCATTACTTTTATTTTTAGCTATTCTGTTCATTTATAATAATTTGCATATATTTTTTGCATCGATCTTAAAAGTTATAATTATTTTTTTAATATATAAATATTAAATTTAAAAGCCAGTAGTTTCGTTTTCCATTACTGTGAAACCGATAAGTTATATCCGTTTATACTTATAAATTTTTCTCAAAATTTCTTGCATAGTCGAAAAAACGATCAAACGCTTTCAATTTTTATTTGGAATAGTTAAATTATGATTTTACTCGGTTATATATAAAACATATATTTTTAAAATTTGTTAGTTTAATAATGAAAAATTATTATTTTTAATAATTTAAATTTTTTCTTTATAAATTCGAAGCCGCCACATTATGATTTTACTCGGTTATATATATATTTAAATTTTTGTGTTAGCTTTTTAATTAAAAATTATTATTTTTCATGATTTTATTTTATTTTTTAATTGAAATCACTAAATTATGATTTTACTCGGATATATATACAGTTTAAGATTTTTTTTTGTTAGCTTTTTAATTAAAAATTATTATTTTTCATGATATTATTTTTGTTTTTAAAATTGAAATTGACAAATTAATGATTTTACTTGGTTATATATATGTTTTAAATTATATTTATTTTTATAATTTTACGTGATAATATTTATTTTTTTAACATTTTTGTTTGTCTCAGTTTTATAAATAATAATTACGATTTTAAATATTTAAAAATTATGCAATATGTATAGAAAATAGTTTATTTAAACTTTTGTGCATTTTATTTACAATATTGAATTATATGTTATATTAATTTTTACTACATAATATTTGTATACATTCTTATTTTATTTTACATAATTTTTAATTGTATTGTTTTTTTACTGTTTTTTTTTATTAAAATAGGTCTAAGTGGATCCTTAGGATCAACGGTATAATCTAACCTTATTATAATTTATAACGTTTCTTTTTGTTTAATTTTTATAAAATTAATTTGAAACCTTTTTTATTCTTTTAAATTTATAATGCTTTGTTATTTAATTGCTAATTGTATATTTATTTTATATTGTACGTTTTTACGAATTATTTTTTTATAATATTAAGTTTTATTTTTATTAAAATGTTGTTTTTATTAAAATTTTATTTTTATTAAAATGTTGTTTTTTTTAAAATTTTATTTTTATTAAAATTTTATTTTTATTAAAATTTTATTTTTATTAAAATATTATTTTTATGAGCTTTTAATATAATTTATACATATTTTACTTTCTTTTTAATATTTTTTTAAAATTTAAAAAAATTTAAAAAAAATTCTTTAAATATAATTTAGTGTTTAATTTTTTTTTATTTTATTTTTCAATAATACACTTTTTATGTAATTTAATTTTTTTTAATGTTTTTTATTACTTGTAAGTAAATTTTTTATAATTGTAATTTGTCTAATTAAGTGTTTATGTTTGGTTTTTTA